GGAACCCCCCCCCCCCCCGAATTTTGTGTAGAGAAGGGCGACACAACAACAACTTCGGCATGCGGGAGTTAGAGGTTCTTCTGCCGCCACCAACCCACGCGGTGACAGCTGGGTGCGCATTCGCTGCTCCTCAGCGATTCGAGCGATTGCTGACCTCGAGATAGGCGTGTGTGATGTGTCTCCAAAAGGAAAGCTACTGCTGTAGATATGCTGTAGCGCCGACTCGCTGAAAAAGAGTCTGTTTTTCAACTGAGCTGGCTGGTTCTGGTTTTCCTCGTTTCAGCCGTCGTCGCGTCGGACATGAGACACACACGCAGCAGCAGCTCCAAGGACCAAGCAAACCGACTGCTTTCCTGGCATCGCGCTCGTCATGTGTGCCTGTGGGATTCGTTCGCCACCGTTTGTATCTATCGCTTAGGCGTGTGTTGCGTGTGCTCCTCTCCCCGCTGTTGTTTCCGCTGTGCCCAAGGTTCTCAAGACTGGTGTTGGATTGGCTTATGTGAAGATGCCGGACAAATTGTGAAACAAATTCTACTTCGAAGTATCTTTTTTGGGGGAACAGTGCACCAGTATCACCAAAAGAGAATAATGGACCCACCTCACTAGCCTCCTGCTCCATGGTTTCTTGCTGAAGGGGAGGGCAACACTCGCCTAATGTCCTCACAATGTGAGTGATCTCCAAGGTAAATCTCGCCGCTCCAAATCTCCTACAGCAGTAGATATGATTTTTCTAGAGATGCGAGTTTTCGAGGCGTGAAATCACTTTTTTTTTCTTGAGGGCCGCATCATGTGTGTGGTACGCACGCGCGCAGACCGGCGGTGACACGCTGGCAGGAAGCCTCGTCGCAATACATTCGTTGAGCTGTTGCCGGCCAACTCTGCTGGTTGCCCTCGGCTTGTGCGAAACGAGCGTCGGCGAAGAGAACAACGCGAGTGCTCCACAGCTGCGGACGCCAGGAGAAGAGCGAGAGACGCCAGGACGAGAGTCACGCACACCCGCCCGTGGCGCCAAGAACGCGCACCTTCTTTTTTGTCAACACCGAGGTGTGTACTACAGCAGTTCGGTCGAATATCTTGCGCCTATGGTGTGTATCTGACCAGGGATCAGCTAACTCAAGATTGCAGCTGCAGCACAGCAGTAGCATCTCGTGTCCTTCTTGTGTGGCAGCACGCTCTTCCTTCTCCCCCTGCCTCAGGTTTTGGGCTGCTTCAACGCTCGCCACTCCGTCTGATTTTTTTTTTCATGTACCGATGTACGTCGCGTTCGAGTGGATCTTGCTCCCTCACGCGTGGTGCCCAGCCAATGCGGGCGGTTGACACCTAATGGCCGACGCACGCGCCATCTACTGTTTGTCGGGCTGGGGTGCAGGTCTATGAAGCAACGTCGGCATATCCTTTGGGTTGTGTGTTCATGCTGCTCTTTCTAGGAATAAGGGTGGTATGTCATGTACATGTACATGTCGACCAAACAGTCCGACCGACAGCTGCTGTGCTGCTGCTGCTTGCCGTGTGGGTCGGCGACACGACACGCACGCAATTACACCGCGTTTATTGGGTCGTAACTCAGCAGGCGGTTCGCCTCACTCCGCGCTGCCACTTCGATGTAGCTCTCGTTCATAGGTTTACATGGCTGTTGAGTCAGGGTCGGCGTCCGGAGAGTGGTCCTGTTTTTTCGCGATCCAAGTACTGCTGTAGGCTGACAGAAATCGCGTTTGGTCCTTCGGGACAGATGTTCCGATTCACTGGACAGAATCGCGTGGCGCCCGAAAATCGTACGATAGAAATCTACGGGCGCCATCATCGCCACTCGTCCTCCAGCACTGCATCTCCGGATAAGACTGCAGAAGTTGGCTTTTCCAGCGATGGTGCTGCGGGGACTCATCCCCCCCGCCCTCCCCCCGTTGCTGCTCTCGATCATGTGTATGCTGCTGCTGTTCGCCTCAAAAATCCACCACGTCGAATGCGTAGACTGTTTGGTACCGGGTGATTGCGCCGCAAAGTGTGGCTGTTGGTGCCGCAGACGCTTTGCACAGCTGATGCAGCCGCGTGGGGCCTCTCCTGTGCGCGCCTCGGGTGGTATCCTCCTTTGCCATCATCTTGCGAGGCGTAGCTCCGCACCATTGAGCGGTGGGACAAGACGGTGATAGAGACGACTGCCTCCCTGCTCTGTAAAAATAGTCTAGATATTTTAGACAAGATTTGTAGCGCCCGAATCAAGCTCAACACTATGGAAGTTCCTATACAAGTATTCTGGAAAAACATACTTCTATATACCACGACCTAGAGCACCAGTTGTGAACCCATTTGAGAACGCGTACAAGACAACCTACATAGCGACCATAGCCCACAAAGCAACCTAAGAACCTCAGCAATCGCCCATACGAGAGGTTCTAGAGTAGGTGCTGTTGGTGTTGTCTCGATCACATGGTCTCACGCGGGAAGTGTTACGTGCATAGTCTAGCACCGGTGACAGACTGCAAGACTAGTGCTGGTGACAGACTGCAGCAATTGTTAGTTGCCGAGCTGGATCTTTGAGCGAACGGCGGAATGTGCATCTCGCTTGCGCGCGGGAATTACTGCCGTGTGGCTGGATCGATGCGTGCGTGAAACAATGGAGTGCGTGCGAGTTGCAACCCGAGAGCAGTGCGTGCAGCAGCGCCAGCGGGAGCACCACTGAGCAGAGGTCAAATGGCCACAAAAGACACTCGAGAGCATATCAAATTCAAGTGATTTAATTACGTAGACCTGGGGTGCGCAGAGAGGGCAGACCGTCGATATGTTGGCCTGCGTTGTGCCGAGTGAGGAAATCCGCGATTCCAAAACCAAGTGAAGAAACAGCTGCTGGCTTCTACTCTGGGTGCGACGGAGAGCAATCAATTTCCCGCGATTTTGGCGAAAAGATGAAACGAACAAAGGTTGGACTCGAGCACACTACCGTTACAGTTGTAGTTCGATTGCTGTACTACTGCTGTATGCTGTGGAGTACCTGCTGGCAGGCGCGGATGGATCACTCACAAATGCACTACTGTATATAACGCACATTTTGGGTGCTCTCTGTTAATATCTCATCTCGGCAAACTCCTGCTCATAGCATTCCCCGGACATGACGTTTTGGCCCAGGCTACAGTTAGGCCTTTGCTCCATCGGCCATTTTATTTTCGACTTAGATACACAAACTTTATTGCCATACTAATTCCAAGTAATTTCACCATTTTTTTCTCCGTCATACAAACAAAACGGTCGATGGAGCAAAGGCCTAGGTACAATGTCTGGAATTTCCACCGCACAGTTCTTTCTCGACCAGTTCGGAAACGACCCCCGCAGAACGAAAAATCAGAAAACTGTTTTTTTCATCCACGCCTTTCCTTTTAGATATCTTTCCCTCCCTTCGTTGAAAGCAACTATGATACATCGATGACGACCTCACACGCCTCCCTCCCTGCCTTGTGACCTTCCCAACCGAAACGCTCCACCCGCTTACGCCCGCTTACAGGAACAGGCAGCATGGCACGCGAGGCGTTCGTGCACGGGGAAGGCAGCCCCGAGGGCGGCGCAGCGGCAGGCGAGGGGGGCACAGGCCGGGACTACTTTACACCGCTGTGGAGGACGAAGGGCGCGCACTCCATGGCGGGCGGGCTGCTGCAGTCCTCCGCTACTGCTGCTCTCGGAGCGACGGGGGGCATCCCCGGGTCTAACCTGGTGGAGAGCGAGGGCTTCGTGCCGCTTCGGAAGGTTGTTCGTCCGCAGCAGCGTGTGTTTTTTTTCTTTGTCGCGTCTAATTTTCTGCCTGCAGTCTGCAAGACCACCCACTCGGATACGTGGCGTTTTTCTTGTTTGGATTTGTTTGTATGCTCTGTATTTTATTGCGGTAGTTGCGAAGGTGTACCGATTCTGGTAAAAGTCAATCGACGGATACCGTGCGAATCGGGTCCTCCTCCACAGCAGTAGTGATGATTTTATGGATGCTTTTGCTTTGTTCCTCGAATTTTTTACAACGTCCGGTACATGTTTGGGGAAGTTGGCCCGTGTGCATGGAAGGCGTCGACGTCAGTTGGCCCCGGTACGGATATTAAATGGTACTGAGCAGCGACCGGAACGTTTTTGACTGTGACGACGACAACAAACGCTCAGTCCTGTGCAGTTCAAATGCGCGGGTGACATGCTGTTCCCTCCTGAAAGCCGTGGACTTCGTGTTTGGGCTTTGTGTGGCTCTCGCCTGCCACACAGCGGGCTATGCGCGCTCCAGCGCCTTTGCGAGCAGGCCTATTCCGTTCTGTTTATCCCAGCTGCTTCCGTGTACGTACGCGTGTTTCGTCCACTCTTGTACCGTGGCGCGACCCCGTGGTGCGTCGGGGTCACCTCCCGGCATCCTCGTTGTCAAGGCGACCTGCGGAAGTTTCCGAGTTGAGGTCGAGACGGTTCTCTCAGCGGTTTTGCAATCAAAACGAAACCAATCCTAAAATCCCGTCCTCTCCCCGTGTACCCCGTTGTCGTAGGCGACGCCGGTTTTCGATGAATGAAGCCAAAAAATTTCTCTTGGTGCTGTCTTTGCGTGCACGTATGCGTGTTCGTCGCGGGTGGGCTGCCGTGGGTGTGAGATGCTGCGGTGTGCTGCTGCGTGTTCAGTCAAGTCCTAGTCCCATCCCATCCCATCCGTCACGTCCCGACCTCCCAATCAACAGGCGCGGTCGGAGGCGGTGACAAACATGCAGGCCCGCTTCTCCTTCAACAGCAAGGCGGCTCAAGAGACGTACGCCGAGGCCTGGGACAAGAGAGACCCGTGGCGCATGCTCAAGACGAACGTCAGCTTCGCGGCGCCCCATAAGGGAACAAAGGTGCGTGATAAATGGGGGAGGGGGGGGTGTACTCATAGTCGTGCATGCCGTAGTCGTTAGACCATTGACCTCGCATCCCTACAAAGCCGGGACGGAGCACGCCGGCGAATGGGGGAGGGGAACGGAAAATTGTGTCGTTTCGGGGGGGGGGTCCGAGATCAAGATTCGGAGAACCTGGCCGTGCGGAGATTTCGGGCGGTTCGGAGATGCAGTTTCAGAGATCCTGATCCAGAGCGAGATGCGATCCGGAGATCCAAATCCAGCGGCCCGGGTTCGGAAGCGGAAGGTGTCCGTGGTTTGCTTCCATCAAGGCGAGGGCGGGAAGATTTCCGAACATGGTTCTTTCTCGCCCCCCACTCTCTCCCGCTGGCTCTCTCATTGGACGATGTTTGCTAGTGATCCGCGCAATAGGCAGTGGGGGCGGGTGAACCACCTTGTGCTTGGTCCTGGCGTCGATTTGCCGGTAGCTGCCGCGAACCGAACGTCCTGCTGTGCTCTCGCCGCGAGCGGAGAACGTACACGCCACTTGGCGGCCACATGAGTGGTGGTGTTCATAGTTTTTCTTCTGTAGCAATTAGTGGTAATGGTGGTTGCCGCCGGTACCCCCACCCCCGCCCGTGTTGGAAGTTTTTGTCCTAACGTGCTTGCTTCTCTCTGTAAGTATCCAGGTCATGGTGCTATTACGACGGTGGACGCAGTCTGTGCAGGCGTTGATGCTCTCTCCCCCTCCATATCCTTCCTCCCTATCCTTCCATGGACCACGCCCCAATCCCCCCGTATGCTCGACTCATCCATCCTCGGTGTTTTCCCGTGTGTCCCGTTGGTCTGTTTCGGTGGTTTTAGCAGGAGCCGGGGATGGCCCCGGAGATTGCGACTGTCAAAGTGAGGGCCCGTGACGCCAAGGCCGTCGTCGTCGTGGACCCCTTTTCTTCCGGCGCTCTCCTTGCCAAAAGGTGGCGCCTGGTTCCCTGCGAACTCCCTCTCCCCTTTGTCTTTGGCGTGTCGTAGGGTAGGTTGCAGTCGACCTCTATGATGTGGGCAGGGGCGGCCCTGGCGGTGGCGGTGTGTTCGCCCGTATTGGCATGTGGCGCTTCAGACTCCAATCGCTTGTTCTTGTCGTTGACACTGCTGTGTTCCCTTGCGTAAAATGCCAAAGACCGCCTGTAGCAGTCCACACCGTTTCTACCTTTGTTTTGTCTATTAGCAGGTGTGTTTTCTGGGTTCCTGTGGATGGCGGCTAGCGTTTCGCCGGCGTTTCGCCTGCGTTTCGCATTTGGAACCCCCTCGCTAACCCTCACCCTGCATTTCTTCGCATGATCATGCTTCGCCAGGTACTCCCCCCGCCTCCTCTCCCCCTTCTCACGCGGACCCTTGTTCGACCGCTGTTACTGTCAGGGTGATCGCTGAGGGGTACCGATGCGTCCGCGTTTTCAGCGTCATGGACTCGCCGGTTGCCAAACTCGTTCAGGAAGGGACCGTGCTCGAGTTCGACGCTACGTTCCAGCTTGATGACAGGTGTGCTTGTGTGACACGTACACTGAGAAAACTCGCGGTGTTGGTTCGAGGAGAGTGCTGGTGCTAGGGTCAGAGACAAAAAGTAGAGCTAGGGTCGTGCGCACGTCGGTGGCGGGTCAAAGGGCGACTCCGAGCTCGCAGCTCCTCTCTCCGGCCAGTAGCGCGTGCATGGGTTTTGTTTTTCCCCTCCCGGCAGCTTTGCACACGGGACGCGGGCGCCGTGTTTTTCGATTCCCTCCCCCCCCCCTAACCGACCAGCAACGGCCGCAAGAAATACAGCCGCCGGTTGTCCGCGGACGGTTTGTTTGAAAGACGGCCCCAACGCGCCGTGGCAGAGGGGCGCCTTGGCGGTCTCTGGGAGGGTAGGTAGGGGGGGGGGGGGGGGGGG